ATATATTTATATATACATATTTGCATACACCTTATGTCTATATAAAAAACATATTTATTACAGATCATTTGAATTGATGGAAAGCACACCTCCTAAATAAGACAGTCAAAGAAATTATAAATTCACTGCTGTACAAAATATAATGTAAATTGGTCTTTTCAAAGAACGCTTAAAATTTTAAGTAAAACTTCAGTAATAATTTAGTTATATTTAAGAACTGAATTCATTAAGTGCTAGCTCAAAGCCCTCATCATGTAAAGCTGCACCTGTCAGGGTCTTTCTAATGTGATCAAGTAAGTACAACTCTCTAAGACTAGACCATTTCCTTGAAGCCTCCCCTGTGTGCCTTGGGCACACATTTGCAAGAAAGGAAGTTACCTGATTCCATAGGCTCAGTAACAGATCATTCTCCCCATCACAAAGAAATTAGATTAGATTTTTCTTTAATTCAAGAGGTGAGTTCTCTTGAATTTATTTTAGTGTACTCATACAAAACATAGTATTAACAGTATTTATATACATTTTCAGAACAGAGAAAAAGAAACAAGCCATGAGCAACTATGTATTTGAGATTTATTTGTTATGGAATGAAAAAATATTAATTGTATCTTCAAAAACTGTCCATAATATTAAAAAGTAATTTGGAAATAGGAAGTTTTAGCATAGTCATCATATTTTTAATAAAATAAATAAATAAAAATGTTACTTTTAGCTTTTCAAGCTACTTTTTGTCTTGTGATGACCTCTCCTGGTTGAGTTGTTCATTATCTCAGATTCATGTAGTTACCATTTTTTCCTCCTTTGAGTGTTTTTAGTATTAAACATATAATTTTCATACTCTCCTTCAGAGCTACATAGAACAAAATTTAATATTTTCATTAATATAGAAATACAATTCAATTTAAAGTATTGAATACATGAAGCTCATTCTAATTGTAAACTCCTATATTATTGATTCATTTCCAGGACATAAGGCAATTTCAAGTTTTGTACACATGTTTTAAATTCAAAAGAAATTAAAATCCAGCTATTATATATTTTTAAACAATGGAGAATAATATTACTAAATTTTAATAATCAAATAACTATTTATCATAGATGTAACGGTCTCTATGTTGTTCCCTTTCACCAAATTCTGATTAGTAAAAACTTAGTATATATTTCTAAAATAACAACTTTCCTATCTTTGAAATATATTAGCCCAGTAATGCATTTATGCCACTCTTGATAAATAGTGAGTGGTTCAGATTGAACCCTTGTAGTTAAAGTACATAGAAAGATGAAACCTAGAATCCTGGAAAAATCTTCACAGGATCTTCAATCAGTGAATGTGATAAATTTAATTTATAATGAGTTTATTTTCCTGAAAAAGTGGCAGTGAGTTCTGTATAACAAGACTTTGAAATGAAAACTGAAATTTCATCAAAATTGTTTCTGAAGGATCCAGTTATATATTTGCACAAATATCAATATTTAGCAAGATATCTTCACAGTTTCTTTTTAAATCTATAAAGTTGACATAAATATTAACAATATATAACTTTTTGAGGTTGAATTTGTAATCTGAAAAAATCATACAGATTTTTTTCAAGTTCATTAAAACTTGTATTTCCATTTCATTATATCTACATCTTTAAACTTTGCAAGAAAATTACGTTACTTTTCTTTAATGTAATAGCATGGAAAATATGTCTAATATTTATAATAATATGGTATTATGTAAAAAAAATTCTTAACAACAATTTGTAAAGTCCCTTTTCAATGCTATTCTTATTAATATTTACACACTGAATAAAATTATCAATATTAGTAATAGACCAAGTTTCATCACTACATCTTCAAATCTACTTCACATATGGTAAGTTCTGGAAGATACTAAACTTATTGTCCCTAAATGGAATACAGCTCTTCTTAAACTCCAAAGTCTCCATGATGATTCTTTATCAACTTATTTATTCTGAGAAACAAGTATGTGCCTGTGAGTAGTAACCTAAGTCCAGCAATCTTTCTAGCTCTTAACCCTTTCTGAGCCATAGAAGCAATCATGCATTTCCTCTTGACATGCTCACTATGCATTTCTAAAGCAATGCAGAAAATGGGTTGGAATCTTCCATTTCTTCTAAGCCTCATGAAAACATGAATAGTATTAAAGGGGGGGGGCTAGCAAAAATGAAGAGATACACACTTAAGCAGCATAATTTTCCTGAAACTCTTCGTTATTACACTAACGAGGTTTTCCAGTGACTGTCCCAAGTCCTGGACTGCACAGCACTTATCCATTACTTCAAACTACCAAAGAATCAAAGCAATTTCAGTTGATATATAGGATTTACTGTCTTTCATTTTAATAAGCAAGTACTAAACGGGCATTCACATTTTAAGGGGACAGAGGAGGTTAACGGGAACCTATAGGTGTCCAAACTGTTCAAAATATGCGCCTCTTTCATCTCCCAAACCGTGATCATTTAAGTTAAAATCATAAATAAAAACAAAAACTTATTTTTGCATGGTCTTCACTTTTTACTAACTGACTTATCTAAGTAAAATGCAATGAGCTCCATCTGCACAACTCACTCCCTTCCCCTGTACACTGATTGCCTTAACCAAGCAGTTGCCAAGCAATCTCCAAGACCAGGAACAACTTTCCAGAAACATCACCAATGTCCAAACCCTCTCCCCCAAAGCAGGAGCGCGCTGGTTTGGAGTTTCTCTGCTGCAATGGCTCAAGTGCGTGACAGCAGGGATACACACAAATCAGGGGGCAAGAACTGGGAAAGCACCTCATAGTTGATACCCTGGTGTTGAACATCAATGCGGCACTGAAACTGCTCCAGTACCCAGCGAGCTGGCGGGGAGGACTACTTACGGGACGTGGAGGGAGCTGTCCAGGCTCTGCAGATGAAGCTGCTGACAATCCACAGAGAAAGCGCTGCTCTGCAGCGGGCTCTGGGAGCCACCACCATCCTTCGCCTTCTGGGCAGCGGTACTCCAAAAGCTTGCTGCGGAGATGCAGTCCGTCTCTCCGCGGGGTTCTCCAAGGGAGATGGGCTGTCCTCAAATGCGAGAGCAAGCCAAGTCCCTCCCGCTGGTCCTTCTTCTCCCCTCACCCCCTCCAGGCTCCAGTTCTTCTAGGTCTGGAACAGCAGGGGAGACTCAGCCTTCCTCTTCCCTCTGAGCGGGTCTAGTCTCCAGCTCCGTGAGCCAGTGAAATGCCGGGGGGAAGAAATTCAAACCAAGAAGGAAAAGGAGGGGGGAGAGAGAGGAGGGGACTGACACCTACCCCGCCCTCTCCTTCTCGGAAAAAAAAAATCGTCAAAGGACGTGGGGGAAAATCAGAGGAACGGAGGCTGCAGAAGAGAAAAGGAGAGCGACGGGGACGGTGGCGCTGCTGTTGCCACTGCGGGCGAGCGCTCCCTTCGCCACTGGGCAGCGTGACTCCGAGGGGTTTCCAATCGCC